AGAGAAGAAGACTGAGGGGGAGATGTGAGAGCACTTTTCAAATCTGTTCTCGATCGTCTCAGAGTGCACATAAGAATGGGCTCAAGTTACAGGAGGCAAGATTTCAGTTGTATATCAGGGAAAACTCCCTAACTGTTGGAGCAGTACAAGAATGGACCTCAGGGGCAGGTGAATACTCCAACACTGGAGGCTTTCAATGCATTTCAATGGGTTTTTTAATTTCGCTTTACGACATTTTTGCTTAACAGCGATTTTCCTGGAACAATTATCGTCGTTAAGCGAGGCACCACTGTATATGTGTCTTCTATTGGTATTTTCAGCTCAAAAAGGGGGCAGGGAAGGAGGGGGGAGGGAACACCTTTTAAACAGAACATGTTTTTTTTCTGACTTCAGACCTCCACTGCCTTGTGGCTATATCCACTGATGGAAAAGGCTTCAGGAGTTAACCTCAAGGCAAAATCCGGAGCCCCGGAGGCAGTTCCTGTCATTTTGTCATCTCCTGCAACGTCGCTCTTGCCTTTCCATTGGACTATTTCAGTGATGTGAAGAAGGGGGATTTGCTGGTTGGGTAACAGCCTATCCTCCACATTATTCTACCCAAGCTTTGTGCCCTGGAGAGGACACTCCAGCTTCGCGTACAGCGTCAAAACACTAAACGTTGTTCCAAGTCCTCCATACAGAGCACGATACCATAGTCTCTCGAGACTGAAGAATGCCTATGAAAAGAAAAATCTCTCTGATTCCTTAATCCCCAAAGGAACTGACAATTGGGCTGTCCCACCACATATGCCAATGCATGCCATTAAGTTCACAAGCCTTCCAATGTAGATCCAATCCAGAGCCCTTAATTCTAGAAATTGGGAGGGCCTTCTCTAGATGTTGGTCCTTTGAGGTTATCAGTTATGTCCAGAACGAGTCAATCCAAGTCTGTCAATGTTTTAATAGCTAACTATTTTATATTTAGTTTTTTTATTTGAAAAATGTGAACCGTTTGATGCAGCTGGTCTGGTGGACAGAGGCTTTGCCCTGTGCTGAAATTTTGTGAGTCTGTAAAAATGACACCTTCACCATCTTGTCTAATCAGTTGATTCAGATAATTCCAGAATGATGGGAGTATCTATCCATGATGAACAGAGAAATTGATATGTTCTAAGAATTCATTGAATTTCCTTTTAAAACTACCAAAGTTAGCAACTAGAGCAACATCTTATGGCAGTGAATACCACCATTAAACTATTTGCAGTAGGAAGAAGTTATTCTTTTTATCTCTCTTGAATGTCTCCACCATTAAAGTTCAGGAATCAGAAACAGGCTGTGACTAGAAAAAATAAATTCTTTACTAATACGAGCACCTTTGGAATTATGCAAATTAGCTTGCTTTGTTTGGTGATTGTTCTTAAAACATAAGTCTGGGATTTGTTTGAAGCCTGATTGTCAAAGGTGGAAAGGTTGCCTTCTCTGCAATATTAATATGCTTTCAGCTCAAATTGCCATATGTCATTAATACTAGGTTCTGGCTTGGATAAACACAAGTTCCCAACACAAAATCCTCCAGCTGCATAAATGTTTCCTCTTTATCACAAAGCTTTCAAAGTTCACCTGTTTCAGGGAAGTTAAGTGCCTAGTCTTCGCCCCTCAAGCTTTGGAGGCTCCAAACAGTTCAATTTTGCACATGCTGATACCAAAAAAGCCTTACTAGCATGCAATGATTCTGCTCTAGTATCAACTTTTAAAGGAAAGCATACCTACTATTCTGTTTGAAGTTTGTTCCTTGTGAATCCCCTGGGGGGGGGAGGCTTTTCTTTTCTTTTCTAATTTGCAGTTGAAGAAATCTATCAGTAAATCTATATATTTTTCTCCATTTATATTTATATGCGAGTTGTACCATATTAAATGCATGATCAAATACTTAATCCTCTTACTGTGAAATGCTACTGTATCATTACCTAAATTATTCTTCCATGCATGCTCTGAATTAATTCAATAAGCATTTTAATAATAGCTCATTGGTTTGCGTTTTAAAAAAACGAAATCTATTCTATTTTTTTGCTCTAGTCTTCTTTTGTATCACAACTTTTTTACATTTCACCTTTGTTTTATTCCCTAGTATATGTGCTATTGTCATGAATATTACCAGATTTACCCTTGAACTAATTTTTGTTGGAGTTTTTACAACCTCACAAGCTTTCTGTGGGAGGGACCTTTAGATTACTAATGTGTGACTCTTAAAGCAAGAAGAAACACACTTACAGTGGTGCCTTGCTTAGCAATGTTAATCGCTGCTAACCGAAAACATTGCTAAGCGATTTTTAAAAGCCCATAGGAATGCATTGAAACCCCTTCAATGCGTTCCTGTGGGCAAAAAACTCACCTTTAAGCGAAAATCCTCCATACGGCGGCCATTTTCGCTGCCTGGTATGCGAGGAATCCGTCCCAAAACACAGCGGGCGGCCGTGTTTTTTTCCGGTGGCCATTTTGGAACCGCCGCTCAGCTGTAGGAAAAAGATCGCTACGTGATAATCAGTAAGCGAAACAGCTTACCGATCATCGCAAAGTGATTTGTTCCTATTTAAAACATTGCAATGCGATCGCTTTTTCGATCGAAAATTCTTCGTCGCTAAGTGGTTTCATTGTTAAACAGGGCGCTCGTTAAGCGAGGCACCACTGTATTTGTTAGGTTTATATGCTGCCTTTCTCCCAACAAGGGGACTCAAGCCGACTTGTAAGAGTAAACGAAATAGAATCTAAAACATAATAATTTAAAGATTAGAAAACAATTAAACGGCATGCTAATTAAAATACAAGATAATATTTAAAAGCAAGTGAACAATAAAAACAATCTTAAATTTAAAAAGGCATTCAGGGATTCAAAAATGATTGTTAAAAGTCTGCCGGAAGAGATGAGTCTTCAGCTGTTGGGAGGATATAAGGGAGGAGGCCAGCCGGATCTCTCGAAGGAGAGCATTCCATAGTCTGGGAGCTGCGACAGAGAAAGCCCTCTCCCATGTCCCCGTCAGCCATGCCCATACATAATTTTAAAAGATAAGTAAATTTATGTGTTGATCTTCTAAAAACTATGTTTTAGCTCTATGCTTCTAAGCCATCTGTACTGTATTCAAATATCAGTCCAAAGAGGCTGTTATGATGTCATTGTTTTCAAATACCATTCCACTTGCTCCTCACATCTGTGAAGAAATCTGAGTTTAGACAGGAATCAATCTGGGTGTTTATTTTTTTAAAGTGTCAATGATCTTCTCACAGAGTTCCAAGGGGATTCTTTAATAGATTTGTTTGCTGAAGCTCTGGCCTGCTATAACCTGCCATCTGTGATGTCGTCTGAAAATGCAGTAAGCTGGAAAAGTGGACATGTTTGGAATATTACTGTGTTAGTGGAGGAGTGTCTCTTGTTGACACTTGGCATGTGCTGTTGTGTGTGTGTGTGCATGTATGTTACCATAGTCTCTCGAGACTGAAGGATGCCTATGATGATGAGTGGAAGAGTGTCTCTTGTCTGACACTTGGCATGTGCTGTTGTGTGTGTGCATGTACCAAATAGATTTCAGACCATTCCATTGCAATGTAACAGAATAAAAGCCTGGGAGATCCTTGTACACATTCTGCACATTTTCAGTATGGAAGCAGCCAGAAGTTCTCTTACAAAGCAACTGCACTTTCCTTTTGCTTTTCCTAGCAAGCTTGAGCTGAATTGGCAGAAGAGCAGCTATCTCTCTTTCTGTCTTCCAGCAGATCATCCCCAGCCACAAGATGTAGATGATTCCTTTTAGAACTCAAGAAGCCAGCCAGGCCCCCTTGAAGAGTCTGCCACAAAATCCACACTCCCCAATCCACACTGGATGTAGCTTTGAAATGATCTGCTTGGGGAAATTACTTTTTTGGACCACAGCTCCCAGAATCTTCCAGCTGGCATAACTACTACCTATGTTGGCTAAGGGATTTTGGCATTTATAGTCCAAAATTGATTTTCTATCACGGGCAAACCAACTGTAGGCACTCCATGGGGCTGCAAGCTATAGCAGGTGGTAGAACATCTGGATAGGCTACAAACAAGCTCCTTGATGATATAAGGTGTGTAGTTCAATTAAGACCTTTTATGTATCTTGACTGAAATTGCTCCTTCTAGGCTCCACTTTTTCTTTCACTGTGGGCATCCTTAAAGAGAAGGGTCTCTGGCCTGAAGCCTAGTTTTCCTTTAAACTCTCCCGTGGTAGCCCATGGTAGGCACACTGCTAGTATTGGCAGGCCAACTTCAGGGAATGTGTGGAAGAGGCACCACTGACCTTGTGCAGGAGTTATGTTGGTTCTGCTGATCTTAGTCCAAATGTATGGGTCACAACCATAGGAATCTCAGATCTTTCAAGCTTATGGGTGTCATGTTCTCCAGTAGCGCCTGGAGCTGAAGTCTCTCCTCTCACATCACTGCTTCTTCAGTGTAAGACGAGGGGTGAGAGTAGTAGCCCTCTCGCTGCAGTGCTGTCCCTCCCCATGACAATTGAGAGAGAGAGACTCAGACTCTGCCTGTCTCATCTCCCAAGAGAACAGAACAGCGGGGGACACATACATGAGAATTAGAGGGAGAATTATGAAAGTTAACGGATGAGGAAACTGAGGAGAAAATGGCGGGAGTAGAACGGAAGAAGAGGGTGCAGAATAAGGCGGGGACAGCAGATATAAGGAGGAAGGAGGAAGGGTCACCACCAGGTTGGGATTGTCTGGATGCAGGACCCCTGGACTGGCATGTGGGAGAGATTGAGAGTCCCGAAGGAAGAAGCAGATAAGAGGTGGAGGAGAAAAATTCCCCTGAGACCCTCTTATTGGGGAAAATCTGAAGCCAGGGAGTGGCGGAGAAAGCTGAGAGAGGAAAAGGAGAAAGCTGAAAGAGAAAGAAGAGAGAGAATAGAATGCCGGGTGAGCGAAAGGAGGAGGAAGGAACACAAGGGTGACCCTAGGCGACCCGCACACCGGTCAAATATTCCGGGTGGATGGATGACCGGGACGATGGCACCATTCCCTTACTGGATGGAGAAGCAGGACAGACGGTGAACCTGAATACATCCACAGACTGGCCAGGACTGTGGAACGCGAGTGAAGGGAACCCGTTCCCAGTTGAAGGTTGGAAACCCCTGACTGACCCGTTGTTGGCAGGAGAGAAGTGATGGAACGACTTTGTTGACACCAGTTATTTCTTAAATACTCCAATAAATATCACCCCTGTTTCAAAATCACAGAAATCTCCTGATTTATTTGGTAGACGGAAGGAGCCTAGAGTTGAACCCTCATACTCAGCTTCTGCATCAGTGTCCAAGCCACTGCTAACCCTTGAATGATAATGCTTTCCAAGCTTTACAGGGAGAGTAAAAAATAAAAAAAGGAAGGAAGGAAGCAGACATTCATCACCTGCCTCCCCCACCCCCATTTGTCATTAAAATACATTAAATTTAATCTTCAGAAAGCTGTGTTCCAGACAGGGGTGTAAATCTTCATTATTTCATCTTAACAGATAAAGATGAACCTTTTTACACTTCTCTCCTTCAAATGAGGTTACAAGAGGTTTGTTTTTTTTTTTCAATTTTTGGCAAAAAATTTTTTTGCTACAGTGGTTTTTATACAAAACCTTATATTTTGTGCAAAAAATGTAAATTTAAACTATCCCAAAACTTGCATTTTGGGTGAAATGAAAAATTCCATATGCAAAATTCAAGTTTTCTTCCTGAAAAAAAATATGGGTTGGGACATCAGCTTTTTTTTTTTTTGGCTAGTGTTGCTTCTAGTGGGTTTAAAAAGGCCTGGGATTTTGCTTTCAGATAGGAGCTGAAGGTTTTGCAGTATTTGACAATTGCTGTGGTCGGCAACTTTGATGAGACTTTTTTTAAATCAAGGAAAATTAAATTTGCAGTATTCACTACATCCTTATTTTGGAGTACAACAGTCATAGCTTGGAGCCTACCGATAGAGATGTGGTGCTAGGGGCCAGGGCGAAAGTCCAAAAATGAATGCATTTCTGCCAGTTCTGATCTCTGCTGAGGCTAGATCCTTTGTAAAATGAATGGCTCTTTTATGTCCATCCTAGACAAAGCCACACCAAAAGATTTTGTATTGCAACTGATATAGGTGGTCACAAGATACTGTTGCTGGGACTCTGCCCCCAAACTACTTAAGGATTACAGCTGTGCAGAAAGCCTTGACCACAGCTATCCTTACACCTGATGATGAACAGTCCTGCAAACTCATTTCTTTCCTTTAGGTGGCAGTGTATTACTCAAAGGTTGGGAAATTACATTTAAAAAGCAAGTTGTTCCCATTATGGAACATATTAAAGTTCTATGGGGCTATTTGCTTCCAGATATCTATTGATCACCCTTGGAAACACAATTTCACAAAACCAGTCTTTTCTTATTCGCAGTTATATAACAGACAATATGTGCATGTTCTTATTCACAGTGAGATAACAGACAACAACAGCAACAAAATGCTACAATTTGTGCACCCAAGCGCTAGTCAACAGCCCCAATACAAAAGTTTCTTGGAGAATGGCAAAGTTCAAGTGTCCCCTTGAATTCAAATTCAGATAAAAATTCCAATTCATCTTCCTCAACTGGATTGACGGTCCACTGCCAAGAAGAATCAACTTCACATTTGGAGTCATCAAAACCCGGTTGGCAAGGTCCTCAGCAGTTTAAGTGGCATCAGTAGCTCTGCCCTCTTCAGTTCTCCCACTCTTTTTGATTCAAATCTCTTACTCACAAGCCCACTCTTTCTTAGCCCTACCTCTCTGGGCGGAATCATAAGGGCTACAATTACTTATTACAATATTTGAGAAGCAACCGGTCATACTCATGGTGTTGAACAATGTTGCATTGTTTTTATACTGCTCATTAATTTTTCATTTAAAAAAAATCTTAAGAAATATCTTTGTTCTTGTTCATCATGTTACTTTTTGGAATGTAATTTCACCACATCCTTACTCTCCAGAAGTAACTGGTTACAAAGAACTGTAATTTATAAATTCCAGTGTTTGTTGCCACGTTCATTCTGCAGTGTGTGCTGGACAGCTGCCCCCAAATTCTGCTCAAGAACTAAGCAATGCAGGCTAGGCAGGTCTGTACTTCTCTTCTCAGTACACGTTGCCACGGCTGCCTCATAGGGACTGGTTTCTCTTTTCTTTCTCAGGCCTGCTGCTGAAAGTGGTGAAGAAGAGGAAAAAAAGATTCAGCTGAGCCCGTGCGTTGCCCCAGGGAATTGCTTGCCTCCACAAGGCATCAGTGTCCTTGAGAAACTCATCAAGACCTTTCCAGCTTGGTTTCACCTGAGCCTCAGTCAGGAGACAGCAGCTGAAATACTTCGCAAAGAACCAGCGGGGGTAGGCCACCACTATGCCAGCAAATAACATCTTATTTTCCTCGAGGAGGTCATTAATAATGCTTTGTTCCACTTGTTAAAAGTAATTTAACAGTAGTTGCTGATAAAAGTTGCAATTTAAAAACAATTCTTTATTTTTTAATGCAAAATACTGAGATTTTTAGCTACTTTTTAAAATCAGAAAAAGGCATCTGTGGGGTTTCCTCCCAAGACATTTTGCTACCTGAAGGGGAACAACAAACAGCTCTCCCTCTCTCTCTCTCTCTCTCTCTCACACACACACACACACACACACACACACACACACACGTCAAGGTGTGCGGTACCCAAGGCTAACCAAATTATTTTGACACCTAGAGCAAAAACGTCTACAAGCACCTTTCCCATCTCCCTGACAGTAAAAGTACCCAAGGCTAACCAAATTATTTTTGCACCTAGAGCAAAAACATCTACAAACACCTTTCCCATCTCCCTGACAGTAAAAGTATGGTAATAAGAAATGAATAATAAAGGATTTGTTGCTTTTCCTGATACCAAAAAAATGAGCTTTCTGAAGGAACTACTTCACTACCTAAAAACAGAGCTGGTCTTGAAATTCATTGAAAGCATCCAGCTAGCACTGTCTTGTTGCCAGGGTAGAATATAAACCACTTCTTCAGGGCTCTTTTTCCCTTTACATTTCATATTTACTTCTTTATTAGATTTTTATACCACTCCTCTAGCAAATCAGCTGCTCTGGGAGGTTTACAACAGTATAATTAGATAAATATAAAATCAACCATCTACAAACAAATGCTATAGCCGCCCAGAGTGGTAGAATATACCAGATGGGCGGGCTATAAATAACTATACATACTATGCAGCAGAGCAGACAGTGGTAAATTAACAATAAGATGTTCTAATTATTATTCTTTTCCTTCTTTCCTCTCTTCTCCCATTAACTATCAATTTTGCTCCACCAGGAAGCATCTGTGCACGTTTGTAGGGAGAACACGGCCTAGCTGTAAATCTATTTCTGGTGAAAGGGTAATAGTATTACAAAATTTTAATCCCCTTCTGATAGGTTGGTTATTGAACAGGTCAGCCAGGACACTTTTTCATTACCGTATCATTTCATTTACCTTTTTCATTAGCATATCATTTCATGTACCGTTTTCTCTCTGTTTAGATATTCATGGTGAGGAAAGAAGAGAAAATGGAAAACCTGTTCCTCTCAGTTCATAATCCAAGTCATACGGAGGCTTCTGAGGTCTTGGAGTACACTATTAAAAAAGAAAAATCATGTAAGTTTTATCCCCAGTGTAGAAATATAGTCCTCAATCAGGCTATTTTTCTGCCTGTAATACATCTGCCCCTACATGTATTATGAAACAAATTATTAAAGTTTTCCCATCCTTGTAAATTATGAACTTTGGATATTGGGGCTTCACCAAGTCAGAAATTAAAATGGTGTCCAGCAAGAGAAACAGCTTTTTGTTGTTTCTCCTCTTCCTTATTATTTTTGTTCAAAACATGTTGGGAATATTTGCCTTTAAAAGAGGAGATATCTTGCTGTGGTGCTGAGAAAATAAGCAAGGGCTTAGATTAGGGGTTTCCAAACTATGGCCCACGGGCCACATGTGGCCCACCTTGCTGTTTTATCCAGCCCATTCTCTTCAGCCTGTGCGCGTGCATGCATATGGGGCCCCCCAGGGGGCCTGGGCACGTGTGTATGTGGGTGTGCATGCGTGCAGGGGGCGGACAAGGGGGGTCCGTGTGCACATGTTCCTTCTCCTTCAAAGAAGTTGAAAATACCTGGTGTGGACCTCACAGTTGAAAGTTTCGAGACCCCTGGCATAGATCAATCTTACCTAACCTGATAGCCTCTAGACATATTAGGCTACAATTATCCACAGCTAGGCCATGATGGCAGGGAATGGTTGGCAATGGAGTCTGGTACAGGTAAAAGACTGATTTGAGAAAGCCAGGATTTGATTGCTTTAAAATAGATCCAGACAGGAAGGGAGATTCATGCACCTCTAATTTCTGTACTGTAGATTGTGGGTACACATGGGACCTATGAACTGACAGTGGTTTGGGCTTGATTCCACATAAGAATCATGTGGATTCATTAGGATCCATGCCTTGGATCACTGATTTTGCACCACTGCAAAGCCATGCACTCATAATTTCTGTACAGAACTTTAAAAAGCAACTCATTAAAATGAGCAATTCGAATACCATGAAACTATCATGTGACTTTAAATCAAATCCTAGGACACTGTCGCATGTTTCAAGGCATATGAGTTACGTAACTGGACTCTTATATTTACAGTACCTCCCAATGACCAATTGCAAAGCAAGCTAATTTGTGAAATACAAGAGATGAGAAAAGTTATTGAAAACAGATGCCCTTTGCTTCTTAAATGACCTTTGCTTTTAAATGTGAAGCCACTATCTCATCTAGTTTGACCCCAAGCTAGTGGAAAGGGGTTGCTATTGCATTTTGTGGAGGGAAAGACCACATAAAGATCAGCTTTATAAATCAGATATAGATTTAGAGTGAATGTATTAATAAAAGCAGACTTTGAGCCAGGAACTTTGCATGCTGTGCTCTACTGCAGCAGCTTGACCCTGCCTTCTTGTATGCGGAGAGGGCATTTCCCCTCCCTTGACTTTTGAAGTGGCATGTATGCCCCTCCATAATTACACACACTTCTGGCAATTTTCTTTGCAGACTTCCATTATATAAGCCATTTCTGCATGCCGGTGCTTGCAGTTCCTGCTGATAAGGTTATTAAATGAATCCAAATGCTAATGGTTACCCATGAGTACCACAGCGTTCAGAATATAATGCTCCATGCTGGCTGACATACAATGGCCCTCGTGCTGATGAAGTTTCTCCTGTAAAATATTCTCAGGAACTCCATTTGCGAGCATAATAAACTGTGCCAAAGAGAGGTCAAATGCTGCAAATATATTTGACCAGCATATATATATATATGCTGGTCAAATACCGTATATATATGCTGGTCAAATATATTTGCAGCATTTGACCTCTCTTTGGCACAGTTTATTATGCTCGCAAATGGAGTTCCTGAGAATATTTTACAGGAGAAACTTCATCAGCACATATATATGCTGCAAATACATGCTGGTCATATATTTTTTAATCTTATGTCCCTTTGATGTCTTTATCTCATTTTCTGATACATATCAATGCAAGTCCCCCCCTTTTCCTTCACTGCTACTTTAGGATATGTTTAAAAATCATTAATTTTATTTAAGTGCATACCTTCCTTTGAATATCTGGCACTGCAAACCACTTATGCCTAGACCCTTGTAAGAGCTTGGGGAATATTCATGTGCTTTACGGCAGGCATATCATGATTCAGAGAGTGCTAAATTAGCTTGAACAATTCAGGAATTCCAGCACTATCTGTCATAGCATCCATGCATTATTCATATGAAAGCTAATGAGGAAAATGAAGGGGATAACCAGGCAGAGGTTGACAAAAGGCAGCTTTATTCTTTTAACCGAACAGACAATTTTCACTTTAGCTTCATTATGTATTGGTTTTGAAACTCTTGGTAATTCAGCGTTATCTGCAACTGCATCATTAAGCCTGCAGATACTCTGTGCTTTCAGATCTTTAATTCCACAAGTGAAGATTTAATGAAATGTTGCATAAACGAATTGCAACTTGGTGCTAGAAATAGAATCACCCCTTGGGGTTATTTGTTATTCTTGTATTCCATTCTTCCTCCCAGAAGCTCAGTGCTATGTTTTTCTTTGCTATGTTTATGCACAGTATTTCTGCTTAAAGCTAAATGGGAACCATAGTCACATATGAGGCAGTTCTGGGACAATGGAAGCCATATGACATCCAGTCTCTGCCAGGTCAAGCAGTAGCGACCATTTGGGGCATGTAGGTGCTCAGCATGACGGTTCCCATAGAACAGTGGTCCCCAGCCTTGGGCCTCCAGATGTTCTTGGACTTCAACTCCCAGAAATCGTGGCCAGCAGAAGTGGTGGTGAAGGCTGCTGGGAGTTGTAGTCCAAGAACATCTGGAGGCCCATGGTTGGGGATCACTGCCATAGAACATATAAAAGCAAAAATGAAGGGGATAACCAGGCAGAGGTTGACAAAAGGCAGCTTTATTCTTTTAACCGAACAGACAATTTTCACTTTAGCTTCATTATGTATTGGTTTTGAAACTCTTGGTAATTCAGCGTTATCTGCAACTGCATCATTAAGCCTGCAGATACTCTGTGCTTTCAGATCTTTAATTCCACAAGTGAAGATTTAATGAAATGTTGCATAAACGAATTGCAACTTGGTGCTAGAAATAGAATCACCCCTTGGGGTTATTTGTTATTCTTGTATTCCATTCTTCCTCCCAGAAGCTCAGTGCTATGTTTTTCTTTGCTATGTTTATGCACAGTATTTCTGCTTAAAGCTAAATGGGAACCATAGTCACATATGAGGCAGTTCTGGGACAATGGAAGCCATATGACATCCAGTCTCTGCCAGGTCAAGCAGTAGCGACCATTTGGGGCATGTAGGTGCTCAGCATGACGGTTCCCATAGAACAGTGGTCCCCAGCCTTGGGCCTCCAGATGTTCTTGGACTTCAACTCCCAGAAATCGTGGCCAGCAGAAGTGGTGGTGAAGGCTGCTGGGAGTTGTAGTCCAAGAACATCTGGAGGCCCATGGTTGGGGATCACTGCCATAGAACATATAAAAGCAAGCAATTGGATCGGTCCATATCAACTAATGAGGATAAGGCATTTTATCATAGTTAATGGCTCTTAATAGCACATTAAACACTAAACACATTCAACACTAAATACAAGGATATATTGCAATAGTATACTGAGAAACCTGCTTCTCTCATAGCTACTGTGGTGACCTCAGCTGCGCTCAGAAGGAACAGGAAAGCCTGAGGTGGTGATGGCATAATCTTTGTTATTCAGAACCTCCCAGGGTTTCAACTCTGCAACCCTGGCCTTACTAGGGTGAGGTAGAGAGGAAGCTTCCTTATTTAATCTCTGCCACTGCTGATAATTGGATGGAATGGGAACGAATGGAGAAGAGATTTTAAACTACAACTCATAAAATGGCCCCACTGGCTGGGGCATTCTGGACTTTCTTCCACAGAAATCAAAGGAGAATTTAGAGATGTTTTAGGGGGAGGGGACTATTGATCCCTGAGAGTCCATTGGTTGTGCTGTCTGTAGGATTCTGGGAATTGTCTCAAAAACAAAAAAAAAATAGAACCTAATTGTGCCCAAAAGGCAGACTAGATACAGTAGGTGTTTAGCCCATTGCTGGAGTGAACCAGCCCACTCCCAGAGCACTTCCCTACCCACACCTTTCTGATCTCTGTCAGGAGCTTCTACTTTTGGGAAATGGTTGTGATTGGTCTGGTTCCCACCCACCCCTTCCTCAGCACCTCTACGGAGTCAAGAAAGTGATTGACTTGCCAATATCCTGAAGTGGCTGGAGTGTTCCCAGCATAGGGTCCACATTTTGGGCAGAAAACTGCTCGCAGTCTGCATTGATCATGCAGTTTTCTAATGATGTGTGAAGAAAGACTTCAGGCAAAGGTATTGATCAAACAGGGTTGCTTGAGGTCCGTATGCCATTTGGATGTGAGGATGGCACTAAATGGCATGCCGGACTTTCTCAGGGATCCTGTTTATTGCAATCCAGCCCACTCCTTTCACACTGTGTAAATAAGCACTAAGTATCTTTGGAAAGGACTTCTCAGGGATCCTGTTTATTTACATTGTGTAAATAAGCACTAAGTATCTTTGGAACAGAATGAACAACTTCCACCATTTTTCCTCTTACAACATTGCATTTTTTTAAAGAAGACAAAGAGCAGAAGAACAGCCCAGTCTCTCTGCAAGCATGAAAATTGCATGATCGAGGCAGAGTGGAAGCAGTTGTCCCTTGGAAATTTGGACATGGTGCTGGGAACATCCCACCTCTCTCTGTTTTTTTGCCACAGATTCCTAGTTTCAGTGCAGTTTCCCATCTAGCAAGTCCCTCTGCACTACCAACTCTCAAATTTAATTAATAGCTGCCTGGAATCAGGATTCCTCATTATACCTGGTTCAATCTCTGTTGCTGCTCCCAGACTGTAAAACTCTCTCCCACAGGAGGCCAGACTGGCGCTGTCTTTGCTGTCCTTCCGCAAGCAGGTAAAGACTTCTCTCTTCAAGCAAGCTTTCCCTCAGTGACTAGAGCCTGAGTGGGGTGTTTAAATGGATGGTTGTACCTTACTGTTTTGAATGT